TTTTCCTCAGCTCCCTTCTTATATTCTTTTGGCTGATATTGATTCTTTTTCCTAATTTTCACATGCTTACAGGCCTTGAAGGAAGACTCTATATTCGTAGTAGTTTCAAGAAGATCAACACTAGATAAACGCCTTCTACCTGTGGGAATTAGATTGTTTCTGCTGCACATTTAGAATCAAATTTCCTAAAGGCATGTAAATCATTAAAAAGAATTGCAAAACTGGTACTTAGGGATTATATATGATCTCCATTTCTGTATGTTGATCTGAATTTTCCACAAGAGATTAAGCAACAATTTTGAGAGATAACTGCTAATTTCTACACGAATTTGCGTAACGCCAAAGAGTGATACACAGTCGATGGAGCTAGAATAGTAGCTTAGCTCTGCATCTTGATCATTCTGCAATCTTACGCTGGACCAAATTCACTTTCTTTTGTCATTTGAGCATCTTTATAGCATGCTTCTAAAACAGCAACTTATCTTTTGTAATCGTTAGGCTTAACACTTTCTCCTCTGGTTAAAAATTTTAATTACTTGCATAATCATCTGATTTTATGTATTTCTCTATTTTCATTAAAATATTTTTGTAATATCAGTTAGTTCACAGTAGATTTCCATTTTATTTTCAAACAAAGGTCTTCTTATGCAGGCTTATCAAGATTTTCCTGCAGTAAGACCCATCAGGATATATTTTAATAAATATTAAAAGGGGTCCATCGTATTCATCTCTTTCACTCATTCTTTCTATTTTTTCTGCAAGTTTTTCTTTGTTACGGCTTCATTCAAATCCAAGCTCACTCTTCCAAATCTTCATCATTTGTTTCTATTTTTCTCATCCCCTTGCAAAAACTAAGGGTAGATTTAGGGTTTCTCCTAAATATGGTTCAATTTTACCAAATGGTTAGGGTTTAGTTTTTCTTTATTTTTCTTTTCTTTTTTTTTTGAAAATTTTAAACCGACGACTATGGGTTTCGATTGCCAAGATGGGTTTAAGCCTGGTCCTTGAGTTTGGAGAGGTCTACACGATAGAGGAGCTTGGCAAAAAATGGGGAGATGAGCGAAAATATAGGAGATTTGGAAAGAAAAAAAAAAAATCAGAAAAGAGATAGAAGATAAACAAGAAAACATAGCTTAATTTAATATATTAACAATGTGACTTGTTACATTATTGGTTTCAAAAATTCGTCTCAGTTTATTCATCTTTTGTATCATTGTTTTTTTTCTATTTAATTAAAATAAAAATTATTATTCTGTATGACATCTACAAAGCAGAAAGTCTTATCCACGGATAAGACATGACCATACATACTCATATGTATAATATTAATAATTTATTAATTTAAGTAAAAAAATTAAATTTTAAATAAAATCTTAAATTTAACTCTAATAAATAAAATTATAAACAGTATAAATCAAAATGAAGAGAAGAAAAGTAGGTTAATTTTTTTTTTAAACAAATTTATAAAAAATCAAATTTAAACCATTACCCTAAAAAAAAAATACATTTATACGTTACCTGAAACTATTAAATCAAAGACCCAAGTACGAAAAGTAGGTCAACTTAAACACTATGTTCATAATAAAAAAAGATAATGAAAATATCACATAACAATTTTTGAAGCAGTTATTCATATCCATGTACATTTTTTGTTAGACATTTTAAATAGTATTGGACACCTTTTGTTCCATTCTTTGAGAAGATTTGGCACTATTTCTGCGATGTCGTAGCCTGATCACCCGAATTAACAATTTAAAAAACTTTTTACCTTTTGTTTTCTTCCTCCTCATTATAAACAAGAGGTTGAGAGTTCCAATTTCTTAGATATCAATTGACATGTAAAGCTTGACTCAGGTCCATTTTTGTGAAACTTCAAAAATTATATTTATTGATAAATAAGTTTTTTTTAGGTTAAACCCCCATTTTAGTCCCTCAACTATTGTACAGACCCCCGATTTAGTCCCTCAACTCAAAAAATCCCTGATTTGGTCCCTACTGTTTACCATTTTTACCCCAATTTAGTCCCTTCATTAAAAATCCAATGACGTGTCTTGTTAATTAACTGAAGCATGATGATGTGTCAAAATAGAATGACACCTCATATGCACACTTGTAAAAAAAATAACATGGCAGTATGATCCGGATCCAAAATTTAAAAAAAAAAGTGAGCCCCACCTCCTGCAAATCCTAAACTCTCCTCCCCCTTTCTTCCCCATTCCCAGTTCTCAGTTCCTCATCTTACCTAGCCTTCTTCATCAATCAATTCTTTCATCATCATGAAACAAC